TTCGACTGTAAGCCCCCCGCTGTTACTGAGAATGGTAGTACCGGGCTCGATGGGCTATTTCATGATGAGCCGCAGTAGAGTTGAAACGTCTTTCTTTCGGACCATGCGAAGGAGTCCACTTCCTCTTTCAATACCTCCAAACAGCCACTTGTGCCTGCGTACCCAACGTCGGCGGTTGTATTTGCGTTTGATAACCAGTGTTTCGTCAATTTCCATCTCGCACCCGAACCTTCCGATGATCGGCGGGTTCCTCCTGAAGTGCCCCACACATACGTCGCGGAAGAACCGCTCCCACTGAATTGAACTGGTGTGGCCGACGTTGAGCTCGTATTCCTTGTCCTTCACCTTGCCCATGTCGCGCAGCCAGAAATAGGGCAGTGCGAACACCGTGGACTCAGGAAAGTTACAGTTCTCGAAAAAGGAATCCTTTCGGGCATGAACGTAGACCCTGGTCTCGTTCGACGGTCCAGTGCGGCACGCTCGACGATTGCAAATCCAGCCGTTGTGCCGTTCGTCGTTGATCAGGCTCATGGATCGTTGACATGAATGGCATAGTGACATCAACCCCATGGATCGCAACCAGTAAGTGCAGATTATTCAACTTGAGCGTCTCGTACACGTCCTTCAAGGCTAAGCCCAGTAGCTCTCATTGACGATTGTGTCGCTAAAGAGTAGCAAGAGCCATCGTTATTCTCCGTTGTCGAAAACGTGAAACATGCTTCTGGCTCCTTCCTGTCGTGGGAAAGTCTGATTCGATGACCTTTCCCACGGTCTGGCTCCTTCCTGTCGTGGGAAAGTCTCCGATTCGATGACCTTTTCCACGGTCTGACAGTCGGCGCTCTGAGAAAGGTGCCTAAGAGTACGCTCTGACTGTGAAGTGTTGTTTGTGACACCACATGGCGCCGGCGTCAAGACTGGATGTTATATTCGTGATCAGGACCCCAAATAACCCCTATACACACGTTTTCAGCGGATTTGGTGGAAACAGCCGTGGCGCCAAATTGGCGCCAAACGGCGCCAAATGGCGCCAGCGCCAAAAACGGGTGTCGTTTTCGTAATCAGGACCCCAAATAACCCCAAATGACGAAGTTTCAGCAGATTTGGTGAAAACAGCCGTGGCGCCAAATTGGCGCCAAATGACACCAGCATCAAAAATGAATGAATGTCATATTCGTAATCAGGGCATCGAATCCCTACATAGGCAAAGTTCGACGAAAAATGAAACTTTGAGATTTTGGGGCAGTAATCGTGGGATAGTGCCCAATCCGGCAATAGGGGAAGGCTGAAAACGGTGAAAAACCAAAGTTTCAACTGGGGAAGTAATGCATATCATTCGATAGCATTTTTCACGGGGAAGCTAACGGGGCACATTTCAGGTCTGCGAGTTCATCTGGAAATGCAAAAAATCTGAACTTTCCACAAGGGCATGACGAGGAGGCATGTTTGGGGCCACACCACGGAAGGAACGCTCACCTGCAACCTGCGAACCGAGTTTCCTTCACATACATTTTCCTACAGATCAAGTAAACCAAGTCCTACCCGAACTAGTGTAGGGACCTCTCGCTCCTCTACAGCTCTCCTACAGATATAACTATATCCTCTCCAATTTGGTAGCTTTGTACCGTAAGAGCCGCGCACAAAGGCATGACAAGGGGTGAGTTTGGGTCACAGCCATCTGATATCTTATAACTGTCTCATCCTCATGCGACCCCAAGGTTTCCATATAATCTTTACAGACAAGTGACCGTAGTCTACGACAGTGAAGGAAATTGTTCGCTATCTTCACAGCTTTCTGCAAAACATGTCCTCTGAAAATGGAAAATGTCACATAATAGGCCCACTATGCCTGCTGAGAACTGTTCAAAGATTCCACTTGATATACAGAGGATGGGATATTGAGAGCAGAGGGAACACGTAAAGCTAGTAAGCGCTTAAAAACGAAATGAAGATCTAAGAATTCGGAAAAACATCATTCATCTAATCTTACGAATGTATGTAAAAGCCACTCTCAGTACGCTGGCCGCAATTCTGGGTAAGTTTTGAGGCCCTTCTCCACCAGTGCAGGCGTCAGCCCGTAAAGGCGAGAATTATATACCACAGTCACATGGGCGAGGCAACTCACCTTTCTGAGATGAGACACTCCGGTGTGCTGCGCACTCCCGCTATGGTAGCTTCCCTCAAAGTAGTTAGCACTTTCTTATAGTGTCCGACGAGCTGAATTCAAAGATATCTTCGGATTCTCGAAAGCTCAATTTTGAACCGAGTTATAACGAATTCACGAAATTAACGAGGATTCGCGTTATTCGCGTGAATTTTCGATTTCAAACGGCGAGTACTGTAGTACACTGGTGGGACGAGGCAGCCCCACATGTATTGCCAATTACTAATAGCCTACCAATTGCTTTTATCCTTAACTGTTTTCAATATTTGTGATATCAGTACTATAATTATGGGTCACGTATATACCTAGTACTGATATTGTTTATTTTATACTTTGATGTACCATTTTAGAGAAAGTCTCCCAAACCCTTCGGAATTTCTAATTCCTTCCTCTTTTTTTCTATTCCATGTTCCAAGTAAAGGAAAGACTACAAAAAATAAGTACAGAACTCAGTGTATGGTAGCAAAATCATTTTCGCGGAAGCAATAGGGGCAAAAATGCTGTCTGAAGTCCACTTCAGCAGAGGTTGATAAATTTTGCCTTCTCATTCTCGTTGTACGTTTTTTCCGTTATGTTCCTGTCGATGTCTTACAGTACGAGAACTTCACTGAGTATTGTCATTGCTAGAATAATTTGTGTTGTCATTTTTTGCTCACTTACCATCAGAGAGTCCACGAACTTGAGAACCCCGACGGGTACCTCACAAAACCCCTTCGCGCTCGTCCCACGCCCCCAATACAGAAAAAGGCGAAAATCCCGTGTGAACTGTGAGAATACTTCCAACCCCGTTTGCAAGCTCTGAGCTCACCTCAATTTGCCGTTTATGCTCGTCCACAAGACGGAGTACGAGGGTGTTCGTCCTCAGTGTTGAAAAACACTAAAAAAAAGACGAACACCCTCGTACTCCGTCTTAGCGGCGGAGTTTAAGATCTGACGAAGGCGGAGAAGCCGAAACGTAAGCCTAATAAAAAAGTTCAATCTTGAAAGGCTCCAAGAATTTTTCTACTTAACTAATCGCCAAGATTCCAAGAAGGTCGAACATGGAGGAGCGTTTCGGTTTCATCTGCTATGGCAGCAACATTTCACAGTTTCGCACCATGATCTATCGCCTTGAACTTTAAAACCTAAAACTCGCTGAAAACTGCACGTCCAAACCTTGTTTGCGTCAAAATCGAGATTTACGTGGCGGAAGGCAGCACATACAGTCGATATCCGAAAGTTGGGGTGGGTGTGTCACCGGAAGTGACGTGCACTTGATAGAAGTGCGTGGATAAGCTGTTGCCAGCATGCTTTGCTGATAGCCAGCGATGTATTGGAAGCAGCTTATCCCACATAGTTTCTATCAAGTGCACGTCACTTCCGGTGACACGCCCACCCCAACTCACCGATATCGAGCGTACTTCGTCAGTGAGTCCCCATGGCTCCACCCAAGTGTCTGTGAGCTGTCCACCAACTACGGTTTTAAGGAGTTGTCGCTCTTCTGAACTCGAGGGGTTATACACGGAACTTTGCACACTGTTTATAAGTGGTTACATATGTACATCACA